GTTGTAAATAGCCGTCCTAACAGGTCTTTGTAGAGTACTTTATAAATCTGTATAGAGTATATTACATCATCCAAATCATCGTTGACATTTAAATGTGTAAACAGAACAAGACTTGGTGATAACTGTGATCTCTAATTACAGTATACATAGTCGTTCCAAAAGGCTACAAAACTATTCCGATTTACACAATGAATCAGAGTAACAGATATGCCTGAATAACCAGCAGTACGTGTGGCATATTTCAGCAAATGCCACTTCTCTTGCAATCATAGTGGATGGAGCCGTGCAGTATGTTGTTGGTTTTGTCTTTGTCGTTACTCCTAGACCCTTTTCTTTATGGAAAAAAGCGTTACATATAAGACTAATTTCCCGTCTAACCTTTCCATACGAAGTTGTGTGTAATAAGCTGTATTTGTACCATCCAGGTTGTCAGATTTTAATGAATACTTCGTATATATGAAGAGATTTCGCCATTTCCACCAACAGATGTTCAGCTGACTTGCTATTTTCCAAATCTTCCTTGTGGCTATTCATATTATACCGGAACAGAGCACTGATAAAAATCCGGTGATGCTGTCAGAAGTGATACAGTGTACTTATACACTACACGAAAGTATTGTTCTCTCAAAAATGTCAATCCACAATATACTTGATCATTGTTAGTATGTGTTTTTTATTTCATTAATTTTTGTTTTTTGATTTTTGTTGTTGTTGTTTATTTTTAAGGAGTGTGGGTGGGGAGGTTTCAATATAACAAATCGTTCAAAAGGTTCATGACATATTTTGAAATATTGCTGAGAGTTTAACTTACAATAAATAAATATGAATACTTAACGACTTTTCAATAAGTATATAAAATGTTACGGACCACGTGTATGCATGACAGATCAAAGCCAGGCAAGTAACTGTTTTGGAGTAAACGTGGAAAATTTTGATAATTTGGAATTTAATACAGAAATAACACATTTCATCAAGATAATGATTAACAAGGCTTTTATTTTGTGTTTTTTTCTTTGAAGCGAACTCTTCATGCTACCACACAGGTAAAAATCATATTTGACAGTATTTTTATTGTGGTTCATAATCGGCCCAATCTCACTCATAACGTAACATGCCTGTATATCGGAAATATCTCCGTGTCTGCTTTGTGAGTTAGAATGTACTTTGGTTGGCCTAATGATCCCAGCAGGTGTCAGCACACCTTGTTATTGCATAGGAATATGCAAATTTATTCATTTATCATAATTATCGGCGTAAGCCAACAAATGCAATGAAGCAGTTAAAATGACTTTTAAAATACGAAAAGCGTAAGAAGGTAATGAAATGAGTGAGTTTGGAATTTCGAAAGTGAACCGTGATTTCTAAGATGCTGTGTTGATGAAGAGCTTACAATTTCAAAGAATAAAAAACGGTCTTAAGTGCTATTACATGAAAGTACCATAAAACGACATTTTTTAATTATTAATTGTTATTATTTAAAAGGAAGGATGTGTAATGTGTGTGACTTCGTTTTTAAAACATGTTTTAATCAGATTGAGTCGTAACTTTGATCGAAGCGTTGTTATACTAAAATGTTTTAGTATTCAATATTCAGTTATTCTAAAATATCCCCTGTGGTACAGTTCATCTTAATATGATAATCAGTTGGTTCAGAGGTGTAACACAAAATTCATATGAAACCTTTCAATATACTGACACGCCAATATTTTGTTTATGAACAAATTGTTTACATACATTATGCAAATTGCCCATAGGTTTTATATGTAATGGGTAAAAAAACTATGTGGATGTAGGTGTACGTTGAAACCGCTTCTGGCGATAACGGTCCAAGTCATGTTTTTTGTGTAACTTAACACCTGTATAAACCTTAAACTTGGTATACCTTTAATAAATGTTTGTATTAAATAGCAAAATTTTCAGTCGAGCACCTGTGCAGCACATTCAGTTAACTGTGGTATAAGCGCGGCTTTCATAGAAAATAGAGACGGAAAGTGTGTGGGCATATATTCCTGAAGTCCGTGTCTGTTTGAAGCACATCGCCTGATCTCGCTCCTTTACGTAAACAATAGATATATGTATGTGTAACAACATATCAGTGTCATGATTCATACGTCAGATTGGTATCTGTTAAAAGATATGACAGCAATCGATAAAAAGAAATACATACCGTTACTTTAACGTAAGTACATACATTTGTATGTAAATATAAACCGGAAACGTAGATATAGAAATACACAGTTTTGAAAACATATTTATCAATATTATATAAATACTGTTAAAGCGAATTCATACCGTATTTTAGAAGTATATATCTTTATAAAGAATTATATGTACATCCATACTTTCACATAAATAATCGTGTTATCTATCCGCTCATCATCATTGTCTCTCCGTACACAGACAATACATTGCACGTCTGATAAAACAGCGAATTTGTCTTTAAATGCTGTTTACATATTAAACTTAGCTTTACATAAACTTCGTTATCACACTTTACATATGATGTTTCCAATTTGCGATTGCGATAAGAAAATCCTTATTCCTTCAATTTTAGCTTATAAATATCATTATTTTATATAATGTCAGAAAAAATAATAAACAAAGTATCAAAAATCCAAATAAAGGTATGGTTGCAGCACTCATATTGTTTTACATAGTTACTGACGTTGTAGCAACTATTAAGGTTATGTAAAGAGGATATTTAGGTATTACAAGTCCTTCGTGGACGATTTTATAGTGTTATCCGGCTAAAATTTCACACTGTTGATATTTTCTTACGTGGTGCTTGGCGTAGTAGCAACCGTTAAGGTTATTCAAGGACGATATCCAGAGATAACGAATCATTCACGGACAGTTTTATAGTGCTATCCCGCTGAAATTTCATAGTCTTTGTCAATATAATGTCACATCCCTTCTAATCATTTTTCTTTCAGCAGCGTCACCAGCTAGATTTTTCTGTCGAATAATCGAGACAAATAGACCGAGGTCCACCGTTTTGAAATGAGGATATAAGATGGATGGTGTTTTGATAAATCGATGCATATATCATCTATAAAAGGGAAGATGCCTTGATATATTGTTGTGTATAACAACTACAATAGTAATTATGTTTTTATAAGTTGCTGTGTACAACATCTTCAAATGAGATGATGTTTTGACAAATGTTTAACTTTGTTCAAATTCTACAAAAGGGATGGTGCTTGAATAGTTGTACTTGGTAAAACATCTACAAAAGGGATGGTGCTTTTATTAATTGTTGTACTTTGTATAAAATCTACAAAAGGGATGGTGCTTTTATTAATTGTTATAATTTGTATAACATCTACAAAAGGGATGGTGCTTTTATTAATTGTTATACTTTGTATAACATCTACAAAAGGGATGGTCCTTTAAATAAGTATAACATATGAAACAGTTTCCATGAAACGTCATTCTTGTTTTCAGTGATCTACAGAAAAACCGAATTTTCACTACATTTAAAAAATGTATATATGAGTTATTATAAACATTCGATTTCAGACTTACTACGAAAATTAATTCTTCCCTAAATGTTCAAATAACTGGAAATCAATTAACTAATTAATTTGAAATAATGATAAGAACCTGATTGTATCACCTTGCTCGTTAACACTCCAAATTTACTTCTAGGAATACTTGTTTGGTGAGGTCAAAAGTAATTTATCTCTGGCTGTATTCCCACGAAAGAAAAAAATCCTTTACAAGAAAATACTTTTAGTAATTACAAACAGTGTATTGTTTAAACAGAACAACGATAAAGACAGATAGAATCAATGTTGTAATGAATAAGAAGAAACAAAACAGATTTCTTTGATAACAATTTTTTTCTCAATTTCAATCCCCGTTTTGTCAATGTGAGTTTCTTTGGGTCGCCTCTGCACCAAGACGTTATGTCAGTACACCATTCAACATCAGCATGGTGTGAAAGCTATAAAAATTCAATTTTACCTGATATATCAACTGTAATAACATTAGTTCTATTCGGAGACGTTTTTAAGTTCAACAGTAGAAAACAATTAGGCATTGTATCAGTAAATTACTTGACATCGGTCCAAACCAAAGTGCAGCGGTCTAGTAAGAGATAATTCAAGCACGTTGCAACACTCACGTTGTCTTTAAGACTAAATTGTCTGTACGTCAACGTTGCCTTCTGTCCGTCTTTTCACAAAAATCTTTTATAATTTTTAAATGTGATTTCTCAAACCTGATAAGAACGTCTGTTCTGTTGTACCATACATGGTCGCCTCCATTTTCTCTGTCAGTATTTGATGTTGTTTAGAAAAGAACTACCGCCATCTTGTTTGTTGGTATGGTACTATAGATATGCAAATTTCCCCGACGGGGAATCTTGTCATGCTTCATAAAATTTACGGCATCTCTATGTAGAGAAAGTGTTAGGAAATTTGTCACTGCCGCTGGCAATGAAAGCGAAAGTCTACACCTTCATATTTGCTTATAATCTTAGGGGCGTGTCCACTTTACTATTGATGTTTACCGTACTGCTTTCCTATTGGTCGTCACGATACATCAATCTAACATGGCGGACAAAAGCGAAAGGAGAATTTTGACAAGCCTTTGGATAATCCTTTATTTGGATGTTGGGGTATTTTTTTAGCTAATGGATAGGGCCGTGATGATATTATTAAATGACAATAAAAGCGGTGGTGTCGCTGTTTCTCGGCATTGGTTGAAAAGACGCTTCGTTACCTTCGACACGCTATCCTTGTCTTTACACGGGCGAAGGTGTTGAATCTGACTTACTTTAACGGGTGTACACTGACTTCAATTAGTACCCGATAAACATAGAGCTGGGAGACATACACCATCAACAGTTATATCTTGTGCAGCAAAGCCAACAGTTTGTGTCATTCTTACTTCGCCAGAGTTCAAAAGTTTTACAAATTGGAGACAATTACGTTTGGATTTCTTCATTTTGAACAAGTTTCCTGGACGATAAGACTTTGACTATAAAAACCGCAATTATGCATCACTTGCCGTATTATTACACGTCGGAACAAATCAAGTCCTATCAGAACAGTATGTTAGCAGCCGCTGCGTCCGGGAATCAGTCTCTCTTCACTATTGAGAGTATCTTGGCCCCACGACCCCTTCTTACTCACAGACCATCTCCTTATTTCCCTTATCCTAGTCTTCATCATTCGGCCCAGGACTTGTTCGGTGAGTACTTTTGTCAGAATTTTTATTGTCTTTTGTGCATGGCCACCCAGAAACAGAATTTTGCTATTTATTTCTCATTGATATTAAATTCTATTTTAAGTTTTATTTTCATTAGAATGGGTTTTATTTCAAAATTAATAAACTTAAAAAGATGTGTTTAATTATTCTAAGTATAATCCTGCTAAACATTTTCAAGGTAATGATCACTCTGATGAATGTTTAAGTTTAACGCCAGGTTCTATACATAATGATATAAATATTTCATGAAAATTCAAATAAAAAACGTAAATATGTTTTCATTTTGAGTGTTCTGAACATGATAACATTCCCCATTAAAAGTGTTACCAGTCTGCCACATGTTTCAGAATTAAAAATGAAAAGGCCTTAAGCAAAAATAATAAAATTGTTAATTTGAGTCAAGTTTATCAAAAAAGTACTAATTTTGAGAAGCAATTACCAAAAAAGGATTGGTGAATCAAAATTGTTAAACTGCTAGAAATGATAATTGTAAAACTTAAAAAAAACGAAAATTGATAATAATTGACACATGGTTTATAATTAAGTGTCAACTTGCCTATTTACAACAAAATTTCATATTACATGGATTTTGTATAAGCTTTTTTTTTTTAAATCCGTAGGTTGATTTCTCTCCGTCGAGTAATTGCTTGCATGTCTATGAAAAGTTCATCATGGCGGACTAATGGTATTTTCCGCGATTTTACGTATTGTTTTACCCGAAGACATATAAATTCGTTTTAGCTGTATTAAGTTTCTGCCTTAAGACGGTATGATCGGAGTTAGAAGAATAATGTAGAATCATATATTGAGAAATTAATGGGTTTTTCGAGCCAATATTTCCTCCAATTCCACCAGTTTTTCTAAGGATTCCTTGGCCTTTTTGGTCGGTTCCAGTCGAGCTTCGTAGCGCTCAGTTTTTCTTATTGCCTTTAACTCAAGATTCCTTTGAAATGACAGAGATGTGGGCTTCATTTCAGCATTTGGATTCTATCATATAAAATAGCCGGTGTTGAGAATTTTTTATGATTGCATTCTTCAAAAAAAATGTTTGTAATTATGAGGTGATTTTGTGGGGAAACTAAATATTTCGTTTTCCATTTTTTAAAAATTAATGATAAAGTTTTTACCAAAAATAAGATTTCCGCTTTTGATTAAGATTACATTGGAATGGATAAGATGTAGAAAGGTGTAAAGGAGTATATGATAAAGGGACTTCTAATATCATTACCTCACACGCCAGTCTTTGTTAACATGATACTGATCTTGTAGCCTTAAGTATCTAATTTACAAATTAGATTAACATGGCGAACAATGACCAGATGACCTTAGGTAGCTAGCATTGTGCTAGAGTGAATATGACGACGGGTAGACAGATGACTCCTTGAATTGAACTGACAGGTGAGCTATACAGGTAGACACACGACGTATTGTGACGTGTTGCTAACAAAATGAATCTTATCACTGAGGGCCCGAACATCCTCTATCTACCCATCTCACGTCGTCTTCTATCAAAAACGGAGATTTTGTCGATGTTTTCTTCGGCGAACGGAGTGAAAGTTAGCAAAATAGTGTAGTTCCCTTTAAACGACAAAATAATAATATTAGTACACAGGGTAAAAGATTTTAAAATGGAAAATTATAAGATTTCTTTCATCCCCTTTTTGAAAATTATATTTCAGATATTTAATTCTTTAACAAAATAATGATTTTGCGTTAAATCTTTGCAAAATCATTAACGTTATGTATGCGTTACGCCATATGATAAGATCGAGAGAAATCGGTTGGGAATTGCCTGGATACGGGATAATTTGAAAAATATTCGTCAAAAGTTTTAAATAAACAAATACAGATCATATTGAATTTTTAAATTATTATTCCTTTTTTTTTAGAATCACTATCATGATATTATATATTTATATATACCTGAGGTTGTTCACGTAATACTCTTCGGACATATGGCACTCAACAAATATTTTCAGGAAAGTTGCTAAAAGAAAATTGACGACAAAAGAATTGCTGGTTTGAAATGGAACAGTAATTCCTTATATAGATTACTGTGGCAAATGCCAGGTTATATTTATAAATATAAAACTTGATGAATATTTTTTTTTTTATCTCTTTTCTTCGAGAGGTTTCTCAAAGATTACTTCAAGTATTGAAATCCTTATAAGTAAGAATTTTAAAAGATAAATTAAATAATTCAAAACATTTTCTTAATATACCTGTAATGAAATATTTAATAAATTGACAGATTTTTTTGTTTATTTCACTGAGAGAGTAATTAACACATTCAATGTATATTTTACATACTTTAAGCATTAACATATATGCTTTTTAAATAATACATCATGTTCATGATTTTTATGTACTAAATGAGAGCAATCTGATATACTTTCAATTATAATTTCACTTCTAAATAGTGATGACAAATCACACAATACGAGAGATCTGGTTAGCATCTCCAATGGTGACGTTGGAGTTTTTTAATCTGTTTATTTCTTTCGGTTTAATATTTTTCTGACTATTTGTCTTTCTGTGAATAAAAAAAAACATCTGGTATAAATTTTACAAGAAATAAAATTTCAATGATACCGAAAGCAGAGTAGAAAAATGTGATATCTGTCTTAAATTGAATAAACGTTTTTCTATAATATTTACTTTTAAACTCTTCCATGATCTTCATTAGCACTATTCGTTTCATCCATCATATTATGTTGTTCAATGTTTTCACAAACATTTGCTTACTTGTATGAAGATATCAACTTGATAACATATTTACCCTAATCCAACATATCAAAGTGCCTGGTTAATGCTTCAATTTAAATAAACACATGTAGATATAGCAGTCTCCATTAATATTGATTCCGCGGTGTCTTTTATCTCGATGTGACCTTTTATATACTTTCCTGGAAAGATCATTTAGATATATCAGAAACGATTTAATCTTCATATCGGGTCTTAATCCGGTAACCAGATTATAACGCCCTCTAGCGGATAAATATAATTTAGTCCGTCTCTGTCACACGTTTGCATAATCAGTATCTTAATTTTTGTGATGATAATCCTTTTTTGTGATGATATATGCTTATATGTCTGGCAATTAGCAGGTTCTCATTTGAAGAATTTTTTTTCTGATATGATTTAATTTCAACGTAAACAACTTACAGTTGGATAAAGGAAAGGAATTAAGAAGGATTTCAATTGTACGATATCTTACAATGATGAAATCGGATATAATGTTTTATCCGGATTTCATCCCAAATATTTATTTAAATATTTTGACGCGTTTTACTCTCTGAACAATGTTTAAATACTAAAATTGATTGCTAAGTTATGCATGTGTAAAACAGTTTAGGAACAAACACTTACACTACCATGATTATGATTCGATAGCCCGGTACCGTTAGTGTTATTTATTTTGCATATGTCATTGTGAAGATATAATTTTTTTATTTTAAAGGTCAATTCAGTCTTTATAGATTTTTCTATAACAATTTTTTTTCTTTTTAATTTCCTTTATGATTGTAAACGTTACGGGTACACATACTTGTCTGTTTCATAAGTTTTCAGATGCTTTCAATTCAACTGGAATAATATGGATAAAATATCACGGCCATATTTCACTTTAGAATATAAAAAGGCTGCTCTATATTTTCAACACACGTAAGCAAAATCACGCATGAATATCAAATCCATTTAGTCAAGATTTCGTACACGTATTTTTCAAAGATGTTTTGTTCGTTTTGATGTAAGGGACACGTAGCTCCTAGTCGAGTGAAAGTTTGTTGTTACAGCTAAAACGGCGTACACGGTAGCGCATTAGGTTAATCCGGGAAGCAGTCAACGCTAACCGTTTAATCCCTTAGATTATAGCCTGATTAGGCAATAATTAGAAAAACAACTAGGGAGAATTCCGGATAGTTTACTCAGTCTTGGTACGATTAATCTGCTGAACAAAAACTAAACCATTTAAAATTGAATAACTTTAAATTAACAGACATATTAAATAAAGGAAATATTTTCCTGGCTTTTTAAGCGATAAAGTTGATACTCGTATAGCTTAAATTGACTGGAAATATTCGGCCCTTCCCGATTAACTTGTGAATCTGAGAACGAGCACTTCGCGTGTACTTAGTGTTGTTAAGCGTTAAAAATGAATGAAGCTCAATCAGACAATAATTATGAAGGTGCGATTATTGTAAATGTGAGACCTACAGAACATAGGCCAATATCAGCTTGCTTTTATTAAGCTAAATCTGCCCGTCGGCTTATGCGTATCATAATAATGTTACGTGGCTCTAGGTAAGAAAAATCGCTCTACTACATAAAATTTAGAAAAAAAAATTTAAAGAGAATAAACCATAAAAAATGGGTTTTACGAAAAAGTAGAAAAAGGTCGCTTGATTTCTTAATAAAATTCTACAACGCTGGTATCCACATGATCTCAATCTGATTGGGTATAGACTGCCGTTTGCGTTTGTCTGAAACTCGATCTCCATGCGACAATATCCCTAGATCTCAAACATGACGACATACACTGTGTCGTCGTGTAGAACAGCTAACGAGGATTCCTGTTTCAACGCGATAGAGTTTCCACACAACTTTCAAACAATGGTGAAACACGAGCGTATTATGTTCCGATTTGTAAGAGGGAGTTTATCAGGAAAGCACGGTTATACCGCAACAATGGCCAGCATACCACCAGAATATCGTTTTACAGACGTTTAACGGAACAAATATGTGTGAAAAAGAATGCAGGTTTTAGATGAAATTATGTACAGAAAAAAAAATACTGTTATTGTATATCTATATCGTTTTATCAAAATTATCCCATTTCTCTAACACGGGGAAGATCAAAGCAAGATTTCAGGTGTAAGTTTTCATTAAAAAGATATCAAAAATATGAAGGTGGATTATTTAGCACCGATGTGATTGTAGTTATGCATGAGCAAGTTTGATTCGCATCACTGAAACACAAAAATATAAAGGTGAAGATATATAGTACATAACAGTCTATCTGTTAAATAGTATATCGACAACTCTTTAAAGAGCAATCACTTTAACATATTTTAATCACCGATTCATTCCTGTGTTTGTAATACTTTAGTTTCATGTAAAATTATTGTCACCTCAGAATCAACAATGGGACAATTGAGACATTGTTTCATCTATAAATAGAGTTGCTTCCCCTTGCATAGAAAAAACATTACCCTCGGGCAATAAGTAGAATTTCTATCGAAATTTTGAATTATCTCGAAATTTGTATTAACCAATCAAACTTGGTTATGATATCGATAAACGGTATTGATACACATTGTAGTACCTATATCTCTGACTTACGGGTAAAGATCAAAGGATACAAGTTGTCACTCGTAAAAACGGTTATATAATGAAAATTACCCATAACGTCGGCTAACGCGAATAACTTATGCACCGGAAAGTATATAACCGTATTTAAACTCATGAAAGAGTAATCATATACCCTATAGGTAATGCATAGCATTACGTGAAGTCGTTCACCGATGATGACGAACATAAAATATGTATACCTCCACGGATACAGAACATGTGAACTGATAAGGGTACTTTTGTATATGAAATAACTAGAACGAATTTCAGTCCAACGGCCACACGCTTTGTCCATATCCCCTTAACCCCCGGCAATGGGGACACATACCTTCCAGGGTCAGGCTAAAAGGTGCAGCATCACAATTATCACGTGATTATTTATCAAAACAAAAACATCCATTACTGAATTTTTTTAACTAGAATGCTTGGTACACTCGTTCTCCGAGTCACGTTATATTTCAAGGAGATAATACTATATATAGAACTGTCGTATCTGTTACATGTGTCAAAGTTATATCTGCCCGTTGCGCTACGATCAATCTGAAGGCAGTAAAATATAACAACAAGGTTTCAATTTTTAAATATCACTCATAGCAGGAGACACAGTTTATTAAACGTGTTAATTACCATGAAAACATACATTAATCATACCGTGACAGACACACCTCGTGTTAAGTAATACCGAACCGAAATACGTACACAGGTGTAAACTCTAGTATACAAATCAGCCCGATTTTTTACACATAGCTGAGATATTTTATGTTAAAATCAGTGATGTGTTCAGTATCAGGGTAGCCTAGCCGCAGATGCTTTGCTACAGAATACACCTGCTCTCCTCCACTGATAGTATCTAATACGTGTATATTTTACTATACCGAGCCATATCATACAGACTTTTCTATCAAAAATATTAAATAAATCAACTAGCTTAAAACATTTTTGATTTCATAGCAAATAATTATCAAACATTTATTAAAACTAATTTATTTAAACATTGTATAACACTAATTTATTTACATATATTGTATAAAAAACCTAGCCTGTTGTGTCAAATTATAAAATACGTAAAACACTATTATGACGTCATAGATAAGACACGTCTTATTGACGTCACATAATTATCTTGATAATGAACCACGAACCGTCCGCGTCGAAATAAAGCATTAAGGAAAATTGATTATACAATTTTTGCTTTATAAATAAGAAATATGTATTTTGTGATAAATGGAATCTTATTATTATCATTCAACTCGTTTAAACAATTCTATAGTACATCGACAATAATTTAAGATCTTTTATATCTAAGACTAGACAATATGTCGGGAAATTGAAAACGTTATTATAGAACTAAAATTATTATGAGTAAGGGTAAGTTCAAAGCCCAATAACTCACCATTTTGACACCAACAACTTCCTTTTGCATTCAAAGAAATACATGACAGTCCCTGCCATCGCTTGAAATTCCGGATATAAGTTAGATTTCATGAGTGTTAGATGAGACGAATCCAACTGTTCGCCTGAAGCTTCTCTTATAACACCATACGGTTGATACAAGGGGTTATAAACGGACTGAATATTACAAAATAAATTCAGCTTCTTTGAATACCTGTACAATCTGTTTGGTGTTTCAACCATGTATTTTTTAATCAGCATTACAATCACATTTTGAGTTTTATTGAACGATTGTTTTGTATGTGTTCGCAGCTGCTACATACAACCCTTTTCCCGGTCTGATGAACCCAGCTGATCTGGCACGTGCTGGCCAGAAACGGAAACGACGTCACAGAACAATCTTTACAGAAGAACAGTTAGAGGACCTAGAGGCCACCTTCAACAAGACACATTACCCCGATGTATTACTGAGAGAAGAACTTGCGATGAAAATAGACTTAAAAGAGGAGAGAGTTGAGGTAATTATTCATAAATATCAGTCTACTTCCGGTTATGTACCCTTTCGAACAAACACTAACCACCTGGTTGCTATATCCAAAAAATAACATTAGCATACATTATTAAATATATCATCAAATCGAACACTTTCACTGATTTTTATTGCGTCGCTGAAATGTCAGCGTGTTACTGTGATTCATAGCTCAATAGGCCTGGGTACATACGGGGCTTGGCAATGGTACCCGCCCCACGAAACATTCTCCCGGTCCGGGACATTCAAATATCCTCGGACATCGTCGACATATCGATAACATTGTTCGTACCATTTCAAGCAGGACGGATTTATTCAAAGTCAATGTTCCAAGCCGTGCTTTAGCTCAATCCATCTTGCCCTATCGCCGAGCTAGACACTTTTCAATTTAACCCAAATCAACATAACGACAACAATATATAAATCCAAAATGGCGCATACTGTAGCCACATCACAGGCCGAATGCAGCGAGATCAAAAGAACGCGGCTACCAGCACCGCATCAGATAATAGGAGTAAATCAAGAAGTGAATAGCTGCCTGTGATATCCAGTGTTATCTCGATGTTATTTCTGTCATCGTGTTATCAGCAATTTAGGACCCTATTGAGGGTCTATAATCTATGTATTATCTTCAAAAGGACTTTCCCGTTTTATTACGGAGAAATTAGAATTATCAAGGTCTTGTGAGCGTTAATATATTTTCTGATTTACTGGTTTTCTGAAGCCTCTTCTCTACAACAACATTTATGGGACATGTAACCGTCGTTTGAAATCTAAAACCATCCTTTGTTGGGTATTCACTTTACTGCTGGCTAATAATAATTTTTGGGCTATGAATAATATCACAATTGCGATAAACAGCCATACAGGGTCATAAGAAGGGAATTTCAAACGTGTGGTAAAGCTCAGCACGGAGTAGTACTACCATGGAGATCCTAGTGGTTTGTATATACATGGCTGATGGCATCTCCCCTGGATTGGCCCAGTCTCAGATATCGACTAACTCTTCCAACGATGATGGCATCGCAATCGCTAACATCAAACAACCAATTGAAAGCATATAAAGATTTACAAATAAACACTAAAGACTTACTGGTTTTATTGCAGGAAATCCAGATTTTCCTCAAGTAAAGAATAGTTGGTCATAAAATTGACTTCTAACGATATGTCTCTGTTTTGTTGGAAGTAGTTCTAATAGCAATCGGCATCATGGTCTTAACATCGGGAGTTTACAGACAGACAATAAAATGGGTAATATCGAACACCCGCAGATAATGTCTTCTAGATGGCATAACACCGATATCATAAAACACATTTGAGTACAAGATCGATGGAAGGGCTGCCCAAGTTGATGACGCCGTGATGTGATTATAAGGGAAGTGTGACGTTACATGGTACTGACGGCTAGTGCTTTGCATGGTTCTGTTGATTTTTATGTATTGACACCAATTGATATTAATATTGAAACTGAAGAAACGGACACGGCAATTTCCACACATTAAGCCTCTTTTATAAAAGAATTGTCAGTTTTATCAAAATAGTGACACTGAATATGCCGTTTGTATCGCACTCTACATGGGACATTTTGAAAGGGTAGTTGTTGATAGAGGTATGTATGCAGACAATAACACGACCATTTATCAATATCGTTTTAGTGTGAATCACAAAGGATTGATCTATCTATCTGTCAAACAAGTGATATAAACACTAGCCGGAAGAAGTGTTAACTTTAATTTCGTCAAGATAAAAATCTGGGAAAGCACGTACACAAACGCTCGCGCAAGTCGCGTGTTTCTGTTGACGGTCGCTGGCGCACTGACACGACTCAAATATGATTTTGGATGGTGGAGCTACATGAAAAATCTGCATAATATAGTAGATTTAGATTAAGGAGTCTAAACAAGCCACAAATATCTATAAAATGTTTGGAATTAATTGAGATCAGGCACGCTAACAGCAGCGCTGTTATAACAAAATGGCGGCCAATCCTTGAGGGCATCGAGGCATGCACGCCATCCTGGAAATAATCTGTTTTCTGCCCAGACGGTGTTCAATGATGGCGACGTAAAACACGATAACACGATAGACTATCACAAAGAGTTGTAATATCGTGTAAGGTCTCGTATTTAACTAATTTAAGACAAGTAGTTATCTGATGACGCTGTTTATCCGTTAAATAACAAGAGAATACATGATTACCATATCTGAGACATGCTTTCCTGTCTATGTCCACAAGATTCAACGTGACATTGAGTAGAATAATCATTTTAGGAAGGAATCTCTGTCAGATACATTTTTTCGTATTGACGAAAAAAAAAATTATGATAATTTATTTTTCAAATATTTTTCCGTTTCTGTATTTTATAGGTTTGGTTCAAGAACAGGCGTGCAAAATGGAGGAAAGTCAAGAGAGAGGAAGAAGCCGCTAGGAGACTCTCTGAGGCAGCGAAAAACGGCGATCTGGATCCTAAATCAGACAAAAGTGAAAACGAGACAGAAGCCTCATGTGGTTCACAAATCAACAAGAGTACTGACTCAGATAGTGATTGTTTTTCTCACAGGAGTACAGACTCACCAAAAATAGACATTGAAAATGAGATACTGGAGTCTGACGACGACGAAGCAAACACTACATCCGATGCCCGCCTTTCCTCCAGTCCGGTTCCGTGTTCTAGTCATTCACCAACGTCATGAGATGTCTATATTTGTTACAAACTTTCATTTGACTTTGAATGTTTTTAAACATCGTAGTGCTTTCAATGTACTACGCTACATATTTGGTAACGAAGGATTGATCGTAAGCACCTCAGTGAGCTCACACACTTGAGCTTTAATGTTTTGCTGTAAATCCTGACGGTGCAACAGTTTATCTGTGATACAAACGTTCATTTAACCAAGACGTGTTATCTGGTCAGTGGCACAAATTCAAGCATTACGGAGACGAAGATGATGGCATCAACGTTGAGTGTTGTCTTTTGTCAATTTTGAGCATTATTAAATCATAATCCTTTTATTGGTGAATTCCAGTGAGGCTGTGCAATGTATGAAAGAACGAGTGTTGTGGCCATATCTCTTTGTATCTATAAACGCAAATGTGATTGGCTGGGTGTTGGTAATGAATCTCAAAGTCAATGCATGACGTCATGGAATACTCAATTTTTTGTATGAAATGAAAAAAAGCGCGGATGTGTGAAAGAAAGCTTTATAAAGAACCATGATGTTTTGTATTCATTTTTTTTTCTTTTCAATTATCACAAGAATTTATTATGTAAAATACGATAAGCCTATTAGACTTTTTTCCCTTTCTTATACTATACATTTTTATTATTGTATGAAATCCTATCTAATACTAGAGAAATGTACAATTTACGGCACACGACGCCGTTGGTTATGAGGTTTTCAGGAGAACTTGTGCATGTCTAAGTGTTGTATATTGCGTGTGTATAAAGGTATTTATAAACTAATGTATGTCAGAAAATCGTAACATAAAAGTGGTCTAATAAAAATACAAAAAGTACAAACATATGCATGTCTTTTTGTTTTATTGTCTAGTAGTATCATCGACCAATAATTGACTGATTTCACTAGAAATGCCTAAACTTCATACCTATTGTACACACATTCAATCAATTATTTATAATTTCTGAATTCATATTTATTAAAATCTCTGAGGGATTGGTTTTTCAATTATATCCAAGCATTTTGAATAAAACATCTAGAAAGCATTTCAGCTGCCCTATAATCCTTGTTAAAGTAATAAGGAACTAAACCAAAATTTATAGGGATAGTAAATTTATGTGGTAAATATTATAGGGCATTTCCATCGTGTTCAGCCTTCTTTTGGCAAAGTTTTCCACGGATAACACACGGGATTGAAATATATAACTTTGTTATTTTGATGACATTTGTCGACCCAAAAATGTTGACCGACATGGCGACTCCGACTAGGTCTATATAAACACAATGGTGTCAATAAAACGAGATGTATACGTTTGATTAGCATGTACGTGACTAGTCGATGAGACTTGATAAAAAAAAACACTTACCGATCCACCATGTCTGGTTTAGACGGCAATAAAGGTGTATATCAGACTTACTGAAGCGGTCGGCCTTTTTCTGAAAAAAATATTCAATTCTTAGAAATACTTTTTTTTATTTTGTAGTAAGTAAGACACCTTTACCTGTACAACAGGTGTAGGGGGTCAACTGAACACGAACCATTGAATCAAGCAGGTTAATATACTGATGATATATATACATACAATCTACATCGTGAAGACAGCAGCATAATGTCTAGCTACGCTTCAGAATATCTGAATATGAAAAGGGTTGAATAAAACATCAAGTATCAAGATGCATACATATGAAAACAGACATAATGTATAGATATGAAATCACTGATATAATGTATAGATATAAAATCACTAACATAGTGTATAGATATAAAATTACTGATACGGTGGGTAGATATAAAATCTCGGATATAATGTATAGATATAAAATCACTGATATAATGTATAGATATAAAATCACTGACATAATGTATAGATATGAAATCACTGATATAGTGTATAGATATAAAATCACTGACATAGTGTATAGATATAAAATCACTGATATATTATATAGATATAAAATCACTGACATAGTGTATAGATATAAAATCACTGATATAGTGTATAGATATAAAATCACTGACATAGTATATATATATATATATATATATATATATTATATAGATATAAAATCACTGATATAGTGTATAGATATAAAATCACTGACATAGTGTATAGATATAAAATCACTGACATAGTGTATAGATATAAAATCACTGATATATTATATAGATATAAAATCTCTGATATAATGTATAGATATGAAATCACTGATATATATATATGAAATCACTGATATAGTGTATAGATATGAAATCTCTGATATGGTGTATGGATATGAAATCACTGATATGGTGTATGGATATGAAATCACTGATATTGTGTATAGATATGAAATCACTGATATAGTGTATAGATATAAAATCACTGATATAATGTATAGATATAAAATCACTGATATAGTGTATAGCTATAAAATCACTGATATAGTGTATAGATATAAAATCACTGATATAGTGTATAGATATAAAATCACTGATATAGTGTATAGATATAAAATCACTGTTATAGTGTATAGATATAAAATCACTGATATAGTGTATAGATATAAAATTACTGATATAGTTTACAGATATAAAATCACTGATATAGATATGAAATCACTGACATAGTGTATAGATATAAAATCACTGATATAGATATGAAATCACTGATATATGTATAGATATAAAATCACTGATAGAGTGTATAGATATAAAATCACTGATATAATATATAGATATAAAATCACTTATATATATATGAAATCACTGATATAATGTATAGATATAAAATTACTGATATGGTGGGTAGATATAAAATCACTGATATAATATATCGATATGAAATCACTTATATAATGATAGATATAAAATCACTGACTTAGTGTATAGATATAAAACACTGATATAGTGTATAGATATAAAATCACTGACATAGTGTATAAAAATCAAGACACTGATATAGATATAAATACTGACAAGACATATAAAATTAGTGTATAGATATCAAACACTGACATAGTGTATAGATATACCAAGATCACTGACTTAGTGTATAGATATAAAATCACTGACTTAGTGTATAAATATCAAGACACTGCCTTCGTGTATAAATACCAAGACACTGACTTCGTGTATAAATAGCAAGACACTGACTTAGTGTATAAATATCTAGGCACTGATTCCGTGTATAAATATCTAGACACTGACTTAGTGTATACATACCAAGACACTGACTTAGTGTATAAATACCAAGACACTGACTTAGTGTATAAATAGCAAGACACTGACTTAGTGTATAAATATCTAGGCACTGACTCCGTGTATAAATATCAAGACACTGACATAGTGTATAAATACCAAGACACTGACTCCGTGTATAAATATCAAGACACTGACTTAGCTATAAATATCAAGACACTGACTTAGTGTATAAATACCAAGACACTGACTTAGTGTATAAATATCAAGACACTGACTTAGTGTATAAATATCAAGACACTGACTTAGTGTATAATTATCAAGACACTGACTTAGTGTATAATTATCAAGACACTGACTAAGTGTATAAATACCAAGACACTGACATAGTGTATAAATACCAAGACACTGACTTAGTGTATAATTATCAAGACACTGATTTAGTGTATAATTATCAAGACACTGACTAAGTGTATAAATACCAAGACACTGACATAGCGTATAAATATCAAGACACTGACTTAGTGTATAAAGATCAAGACACTGACTTAGTGTATGATTATCAAGACACTGACTTAGTGTATAATTATCAAGACACTGACTTAGTGTATAATTATCAAGACACTGACTAAGTGTATAAATACCAAGACACTGACATAGCGTATAAATATCAAGACACTGACTTAGTGTATAAATATCGAGACAATGGCTTAGTGTATAAATATTAAGACACTGACTTAGTGTATAAATATCGAGACAATGGCTTAGTGTACAAATATTAAGACACTGACTTAGTGTTTAGATATCAGATGAACGACAAAATGCATAACTACTGACATATTGTATAAATCACAAGTGACAGACAGAGTGTATTGATATTGAGTCAGACACATAGTGTATATGTATTACATAGTCCATGCATACTTATCCCCTGTCCCTGACATGTTCGAGGATATCATGTCATGTACATAATACGTAACAGTAAATCGTTAGTTTTTATCCAAGTAACAACAACTGTTAAAAAATGAAATTCGATATACGACAAGTAATTGATAATGACCTGACTTGAAGATCTTAGATTTTAATCTGGATTTCTTCTACAGAACAACTTTTTTTTCATTTTAGTTGTTGTATAACCTGATTGATTTATTTACCACAATAAAAGCAGCAGATAGCTATTTTAAAACCAGTACATAAATTGAATTTTTGTACTTCTACACGTTATAGTACTCAGTATCCATACTGAGTCACGAGTTCATTAGCTTCTTAACGTCTTTTCGCACAAGAAATCGTTTTTGTGTTCAATTTTCTATCATATATTATCGCATTATTACTTATTATTAATTTTTTCATTAATATCTTATACACGTGTGTTTTTGCGTATAATTCTATACTTTCATGACTTCATACTTCAGGAAGCTTGTAGGTATCGGATTCAAATTTGCAGCTTGTTCAGTGAAACATTTTTTTTTACATTTTGTTACATTTTGGTTCAATGACCGGGGAATACAAAACAATTTTCCCTTTCATCTATTCATTTAGATATAAACTATATCGTATTATTAATCATAAGATTTATTGTGATGAGTTTTACAGAACGAAACACAATCTAATATCCATACACAGATCTTGGACAAATTGCGTCATATTGACAAACTGATAAAATTATACAGTATTAACATTTTGATATTCTAGTTATTTGAAGCTCGTACATGAAAACGTAAGATCAAATACCTATTAAATATCAATATTAGTCACAAATAGATATTGTTTTGTGTGTCGTACATCAGTAATGGCATACGTAATGTTATGGTGCTGATATGAGTCTCAAGGTACA